GTGACTGAATCAAAAAATATGAATATAAAGTCGTAGAGAAAATTTAGAAAGGAAAGGAAAGTGTTGCGACGTAAACACGAAGGGAAAATATTTGTGGTGGCCAAATGTTGAAATTCAACCACAAAAACAACGCCCACTGAATACTGCTAATATGAGAGAGTTGGAGGAGGGTTGGAGAAGACGGGAGGAAGGGTGGAGAAGACGGGAGGAAGGGTGGAGAAGACGGGAGGATGGGTGGAGAAGACGGGGGGATGGGTGGAGAAGACGGGAGGAGGGGTGGAGAAGGGGGGAGAAGGGTGGAGAGGGGAGGAGGAGGAGTGGGGAAGGGGGGAAGAGAAGAAGAAGAATGGAAGGAGGAAAGGAGGAAGAAGAGGAGATGAGAACAGTAGGTGGGGAGAAAATGAGGGGAAGAAGAGTAGGGAGGAGTAGAGGAAGAGAAATGAATAGGTAAAGAAGAATTTAAGGGCAAGAGAAAGCAGAGAAGGGAAGAGGAGGGGAGTCCGAGGAACAGGAAAGAAGAAGAAGAAAAAGGGGAGGAGGAGAGAAGGCAGTGGACCGGGGCGCCTCAGAGGGGAAAAAGCATTCATCGGGAAATAACACGAAATAAGGGGAAACAGTTCACCCAATATTTTTTTAAAGAACTACAGAAAAGAAAGAACAAAAAACACCTGTAATTAAACCTCACCTGAGACGTATACCCGAGGGAAGAAAACACAATATTATTCTTACACAGGAAATATATTTTTTTTCTGTTTACATATTCATTTGTGTTGTTTCGAATTCATTATATATATATATATATTTTTGTATTATATTGTGAGGGGAAATGCCACTAGAGGATGCTATGTAAGGCGAAGAGGGAGTAGCTACGAGGGGAAACAGCAGATGCTACAAGAGGGGAACTAGCCAGGGCACAATGAGGGGAGCGAGCGATGCCAAGCGGTTATCAAAAGAGGAGTCGACCACCGAGGCCTTGCCGAGGGGAAGCCGACCTGCCCGCTCAATTTGATGCGGGTTTTCCTATGGCGATAAGGGGAGGGAGGGGAGGGACTGTGGTGAGGAGAGGAGGGGAGGGGCTGTGGTGAGGAGAGGAAGAGCTGTAGTGAGGAGAGGAGGAACTATGTGTGTGGTGAGATGGGAAGTGGGGTGAGGTGAAGGAGGAGCTCTTGTGAGGGGAGGAGGAGAGGTGTGTGTGGTGAGGGGAAGGAGGGCGGTAGTGAGGAGAGGGAGGGCTGCAGTGAGGAGAGGGCTGCAGTGAGGGAGAGGGGGTGGGAGGGGGAACAGCCAGTGAGAACAGGAGAGATGGGGGTGAGGTGTGGGGAAGGTGGGGTGGGGGAAGGGAGGGTCTGTTGGAAGAGGAGGGAGGGAAGGGGTGATGAGGAGAGGAGTGGGTGTGTTGTGAGGAAGGATGGGGGGAGTGGTGAGAGTGGAGGGGTGTGTGGTGAGGGGATCGGGAGGAGTAGACTAAGGAATGTGAGACGTGAGGGAGGGGGGGGTGTGGTGAGGGATGATTTGGTAGGGGGTAAGGGAGTGTGACCCAATAACCTTTGGTACAACATTAATAACAGTGTGAATAAGAAGGAGAGGTGGAGTGTAGCTATGATGATGGTGCAGTGAGAGGAGGAAGAGGAGGAGGAGGAGGAGGAGGAGGAGGAGGAAGAGGAAGAAAAAGAGAAGGATGAAGAGGAAGAGGATGAAGAGGAGGAAGAGGCAAGAGGAGGAAGAGGAAGAGGATGAAGAGGAGGAAGAGGAAGGGGGAAGAAAAAGAAGAGTATTTTTTTATGATGTTCTGTCAGTCGCTGGAGAACACTTGACAGGTGACTTAAGAGCCTTGACAGAAGACGATGGGTAGGTTAGTGGTTCATACTATCTCGTGTTGACGCATTGAGTGAGATTATATAAAAACATATGAGTGATTTTATGACCCGTATGCAGCCGTATTCTTCACAATTTTGGTTAGGTTAGGTTACGTGACTTTTTTCCTATTACTTTTTTCTTGTGACTTTATTCTATGACTTTTTTCCCGTGACTTTTTTTCTGTGCCTCTTTTCTGTGACTTATATTCCTGTAATTTTTCCTATGACTATTTTTCCTGTGACATTCTTGTGCTTATTTACTGTGACTTTTTTCTGATTTATTTCTTCCTCTTTTTTCCTGTGCCAATTTTGTTATTTTTTCCTGTGCCCCTTTTCTAGTGATTTTTTTCCTGTGAATTTTTTCCAGCGACATTTTTTTATTTATTTCCTTAGAGTCGGTGCCCCTACAACTTCATATTGACGGGTGATTGTCCAGCCAGCCGCCACACTCCTCCCTGCAGTCATGGCCAGCGAGGTAAACAATGTTATCATCTGTGACAATAACCATGACGACCAATGTTCCGCGAGGCTGGAGATTGAATTGAAACAGTTTATTTAGCCAGAAAAACACAGATACTGAGTTGATAATTATAACAATACTAACATGGCTGAGCCAGTTGAGAACCTGAGCTCTCTTTTAGGCACCTGATACATACTATACATTTATCTCAAGGAAGTATTATGTAACATTTTGTATCATCTGGAATAGTACAATAGCATGGTGGAAAAGAAGAACATCTCATAGTGTTACCACGGTTATCACTTCAATAATTTCCGATAAAACGGTTTTGATGGTACAATAAAAGCAGGTACTGTAAATATAGTAAGTGTTACAAGAAATATTAATACTTCGACAATAGATATTTTTTTTAGAGATGATTTAAAGGAAGGGAGCGTAGTCTTTGCTGGGATGGGTGGGGGTAAGTTGTTCCATACCTTCACACCATGATATTTTACGGAGGTCTGGGACTGAGAGGAGCGCATGGGGGGTGGTCTTAGAAGCTCTGGGTGCCTTAAGTTGTATCTCTGATTATTCCGGAAATGGAAATAATTATGTCAAGCAAGTGATTGATAGATTTGTAAACAAAGAGGGCACAGCAGTAGGTGTTAATACTTTAGAATTTTAACATTTTCAATAAAGGGTAGACAAAGGGAGGTAGGGGGTGGAGAGAGGGAAGTGGAGATGAAGGAATTGGAGAGAGGGAAGTAGAATGAGGGATTTGAGAGGTTGGGGTAAAGGGATGAGGAGGTAGGGGGGACGTTGGGAAGGAGGAGGATTTAGAGAAGCAGGTATGAGGAATGGAGAGAGGGAGATATGAAGGGATAGAGAGGGGGTAAATGAGGGTAGGAAGGTATAGAGAGGGAAGTAGGGATAAGGTGGGGAGAGGGAGGGAAGGAGATGTGAAGGGTGGAGAGAAAGGGAGTTGAAGAAGAGGAGGGGTAGAGAGGGGGGATGAGAGAGAGAGGAGGGGAGGGAGGGAGGGAGGGATTAGGGAATAGAGAGATGAGAGATGAGAAGTGGTGATGAGTTAGAGACAAACTTTGTAGTACAGTTTGCCTATTCTGAGTAATTCAGTCAGGTCTTGACACTGAGGGTGGTATCACTTCTCACGGCCACGCAGGACAGAAAGAAATACATTATATTCATTAGCAGTATATATAGGTCACAGTCATGTGGGTGATGTCACTGTTCACTGTCCTGCAGGACAGTGGTTCATAAACTGTACATTAGGAGTCATATTCTAATTGAAGACTAATCAGTGTGGGCTAGCAGCAAATTTTGGATAAACAGCAATAATGTCCTCAAGCACCCCTGATTCAATGTAATAATTACTAAGTTCATGACACAATAAGCCATGTAGCCTGAAGTCTTTGACAGTGTCACATTCAATAATATAGTGTTCAAGTGTATGCTTTAAAGGTTTATCACGAAGTTTACATGCTGAGTGTTCCGGTATGGGTACAGCGTTACTAACTTGGCAGATGTGTCTGTATCCTAGCCTAATTTTGGCCACGACTACATCACATTGTCTGGTTCTGTCCTTATGCTGGCTATACCGGTACCTCTTGCCACAAAATTGGTCATATTTACTAATGCTGCAACTGCCAGGTCTCTCTGCATTTCTCACTTCTTCTAGATCAGAGTTCTTGATTCTGACTTGAATGTTTTTAAGTACAGCATTGGACAGGCCAAGGTCACGGTCAACATTTTCTTTCTCACTTGCCTCATTGGCCAGTTTATCAGCACGGTCATGATACCTAATTCCAACATGGGACGGAATCCACACAAATTCGATACGAGAGTTGTTCTCCTTAGCAGTTATAACATTTCTTTTAATATCACAGACAATTTTAGAATAAAACCTGACGGGCTGTTCATTGATTACAAGCACTTTGAGAGTCACAGAATATCACCCCACCTCCATTTTCTTTAAGGTAGTCTGTGGCTAAGTAGATTCCCATTAGCTCAGTTTGTGTTGTGCTGGCCCAGTTGTTCAACCTTTGCCTGTATGACACTATCATCTTCTTTTCTTTGTATATTACAAATGTTCTACCTGTGTTTGTCTGCACAGAACCATCAGTAAAAGCATAACATTCACATGATTTAATACTCTCTATGTGACTGTGAATAGTTTCTAGTGTAATACATCTCACCACATCGGTGTTTAACATTTGCTTACTACCAACAGGAGTGTAATTAATAGGAACTGATATATCCAACCAAGGAGGAATGGCATTAATGGGTTCGTCTGGGGTGATTGGGACATTCAGTTTCAAGAGATATGCAACACTTTTATGAAGCCACGCCCCAAAGAGAGTCTTCTGTTGAAGGTTGTTGATATAGTCAGGATTACTTAAATAGAACAACATTTCAGTTTGAGCTGTAGTTTGGGGACCACTGTTCTTCAAAAGTTTGACACAAAACATGGTATTAAGTAGAGCTATCCTCTCAGATAAGGAGGGCAGCCCGTCCTCTTTCCTCATATTTACAATTCTGGTTGATTTTGGGCAACCTAGAATGATGCGCATGGCTTCATTTTGTACTACATCAAGGCTGTTGAGTTGTTTAGAGGGAATGGTTACAAGATGGAGAGCATAATAGTCAACTACAGATCGAATGAAGTGAAGATAGAAAGTACGAACATAGGTGATGTTAACTCCATAGCTCTTTCCAACAAGGGTTCTGAGGGGTTTAATGCGCTGCATTAGTTTGGCATGAAGGTTGCCGACGAAGTTCGCATCATTCACATCAATTCTAAGATATTTACAAGAGCTACATAGTTTCAAGGGCATGTTGTTAATGTTAAAGCTAAGAGGTAGAGGGTGAGCAGGATGAGGATTGAGGACCCTCGTCTTGTCAACAGATATTATGAGACCACATTCCACAGACCTCTGACCAAATACATCCAGCATGGCTTGGAGCCTGGGCTTGGTCTGTGTCATAATGCATATATCATCAGCATAACATATTACACTTCATTCGGCTGAACTGGAATGTCAACAATAAGCTTGTGCATCAGTATATTAAAGAGCCTCGGACTTAACACTCCTCCCTGAGGCGTGCCAAGATCAAATGCTCTCATTCTGGTACTTTTAACTCCCCTAAACAGAACACTGGCATACCTGTTGGACAGATAACCCTTTATCCATGTCAGGAGGTTACCTTGGATGCCAAAATTAGCTAGTTGATCAAGTATAATGTCTCTATTCGCTACATCAAAGGCTGATTTAAGGTTCTATGAAGGCTGTTTGTGTCTTATCTTTTGAGTGAACAAGATATTCTGCAAAGCATGTCTGTGTGCTGTGCCCGGGCATGAACCCATACAAATTAGGGGCAAGTTTGTCTTTGACTTGAAACATGAGAAGGTTGAGAACAACTCTTTCAAGGACTGTACACATGCAGGATGTGAGTGAAATGGGCCTGAAGATTGGAGGGTTAGCTTTAGGGATTGGTACTATGTATTCTTGAGTCCATGTCTTAGACAGAATACATTGTGTGAGGCTCATTTGATACAGGTCAAGCATCCTCACCAGGGGTGGATGATTCACTTTTTATTTGTGCTGTTATTAGTTTGTGGTGAGTTATAGGAATCTGGTCAGTAAAGTCTGGTGAGGAACAGGCTATTTCAATATTGAAGCCCCCTATTAATGTGTGTGGCTTTAAGATATTGCTGTATGTCTGGAGGCAGGGAAGTGATTTGTGACACACTGGACCATTGGTCTAGTAACATGTCAGCATATTCTGCAGGTCTGTGATGAAGTTGGACTGGGGTGGGTGACTTGGTAATGGCTCTAATTTTGTTCCACACTTCTGCTAGAGTGGTTGTTCTATTAATACCCTGTAAGAATTGTTCCCAATAGATGTTTCTCACCTGACCTTTGACTTCACGAAATGCTCTGTTAGCTTTGAGGAATGCCAGGAGGTTTTCACTAGTTTTATTTTGCTTGTAAGTGTTGGCAGACTGTTCTACCTTCTCTCCTTCTTTGATGAGGATAGGGTCATGTGTCCACAGAGGTGGTTTAGTGCTGGGAGTGAGGGGTGAAGGGATGGAAAGGGACGAAATGAAAGGGGGAGGGGACCTGGAGGGGATTATAGAGAGGGATGGGAGGGAAGGGTGAAGCATGGCACATCACCAAATAAAGGGAGTGTAGGTAGGGGGTGGTTGGGGGTAAAGGGGGAACGATACACTATCAACCATCAATAACCATTAGCTGTCAAGAATTATGTGTTTGGTGGCGATGGTGAGCGAACCCTTCTGGGGATTTATGGTCAAGTAACCCAGCCAGCAGCAGCGCTCAAAGGGATCTCTGTTTCTCAATGTATTATTATTAGCTGTCATCATGCAGATCACCGCCCCTCAAGGCATTAAACGGCGGAGACATTACAATCAACCTCTTTTATGGATATTACTGTATCCGAAATATCATCACCGTAATTGTTTTTGTTATGATCTGGAGAAGTAATGATTATATCCGTGTTGTGTGACCCGTTTTTCCTCTTAGATTAATAAGTAGAGGTCATGTAATAGAGAAGATCGTTATTGTGGGTAGTCGTATACTTCCTGGATTGGGTCGTGTTTGTATCTCTTTCAGAGAGAGAGACTCTATTGGCCTATACTGGACAGTCCCGCTTACACCCAACCCATATCCATCCAACCTATGTTGGAAAGTATGTATATTGTTTTAAGTCTTGTGAGGCGTGAGGAAAACGGTGAGTGAGGTGTGAAGGAGGCTGAGGGTTCTACTCTCTCTCTCTCAACTCGTTATGATATATAGTATTTTGTTAGATTTGATTAAGTCAGGTTAGATTAGATTAGGTCAGGCTAAATTAGGTTAGGATTAGTTAGATTAGTAATTAGACCATTCATTTATAAGTTGTGTATTAAGATTATGTACGAAAACGATAGCCTCCAATATCCAGACTCTTTTGAATTTACGAACATACATACATACATACATACATACATACATACATACATACATACATATATACATACACACATACATACATACACACATACATACATACATACACAAAATCAAATCAAATCAAATCAAATAAATACATTCACCTACGTATATAAAAAATGAGAAAATTTACCAATATTTCAATAGACATATACACACAGACCGACACACAAACAAGAAGACCAAACAAAACAACGCCTCCTCAGAAGTTCCTGTCGCTAGATAAATCTATACCAGCCTCACATGGCGGCCTTCAAAAGACTCACCTGGAGTACTGACGCCGGCCACCTCAACCACACAAAGACAAAGATAATGATTGTCTTTACCTGTGGCGGGGAGGGAGGGAGGGAGAGAGGGCACCGATTCTTCCCTCCCTCACTCCTCAAAAAAAGGCGGATCAAGGGGTGTTCCTGGGGGTCCGGATCCCCTCCTTTCATCAGAAAATTCCAATACTTTTCTTTAATGCAGTATTGTACTCAGACATTTTTGCATAGTAAAAATTAATTACTATTGACCTCAAACTATCTCTTAATATCAAGTGCACATGGCTTCAAAATGGCCTCAAAGTGCCTATGATATTGGTCAGATTTAAAAAAATATATATTTGGGGGGGGCTTACAGCGTCGCCCCCCCCCAAAAAAAAAGAAGCTGAGTGGGCTCTCTTTGCTCGCCATATTCCCCCACCCACAACTTTTTGGATCCCCTTTTGATATTACTGGATCCGCCCCTGCCCAGCTGCCAAAGAGCGACTCCACCCCTCTTCCCTCCATGATAAAAGAGGTCTCGCGTGATATTGCGCTGACACAATAAACTGGAGCTTTTATGTTAGCATGGGTCCTGACCTTGACCTGAGCTGACTTTACCTGACCTTGACCTGAGCTGACTTTACCTGACCTTGACCTGAGCTGACTTGAAATGACCTTATCTAATTTAACTTGACCTGACCTGACCTGGCCATGTTGTATATACCCTACCTTTGTTTTATATTGTCCTCTCTTTCTTCATCTTCCCTTCCTTATTTCTCACCTCCATGATCTTTTATCACCATCTTTCGGTTATTATGCTCAGATGTGTTTGTCCGTTCGCCCGTCCGTCTGTCTGTCTGTCTCCATCCGTCCGTCCGTCTGTGTCCGTCTGTCTGTGTCCGTCCGTCCGTCCGTCCGTTTGTGTTGTCCGTCCATCCTCCGTCGTCTGTGTATGTCAGTCCGTTTGTTCGTCCGTCCGTCTGTGTCCGTCTGTCTGTGTCCGTCCGTCCTCTTGAACTGCTTACTTGTAAGATGATGAGATTAAAGTTTGTATGCGTTTGTCTCCTTTGTATAGATAGTTCCATCTATCTCCTTCAACACTTCCTATCTCTCTGTCTCTCGCCTTTACCATTACTTCCTATCTCTCACCATCTCTCTCTTTCATGTCTCTCCACCTGTTTCCTTCATTGTACATTTTATCTCTACATAAGAACATAGGAATGAAGGAACATGACTAACTTATATGTCTACTACGCAAACAGTAGAAGTATGAGAAAGAAAATGGATGAAATGAAGGCGTTCATCTTCCATTTTTCAGACCATGCGAAATGTTTTTGTTAAGATCTTCCTGTAGTTTTGCGGAGTTCTCGTCAGATTTAATTACACGTCCTATTTTAGTGTGATCAACAAATTTACCTATATTGCTGTCTATCTCCTATATCTATGTCGTTTCTGTATATAATAAATAGTAATGGTCCAAGTACTGAGCCTTGGGGTACTCCACGATTGACGTTACCCCAATGGGATTTAGTGCCGTTAATTCTCACTCGCTGTTTCCTGTCTTGTAACCATGCACTAATCCATTTTAGAATATCTCCAATTCCACGAGCTTCCACTTTTCGTATTAGTCTTTCATGGGGACTCTGTCGAAGGCTTTGCTAAGTCGAGGTATACCACATCATAATCGTGTCCGTCATCCACTGATTCGAAAACAGCTGAAAAGAATGTTAATAGATTTGTGAGACATGAATGCTCACTTGTGAAGCCATGTTGAGAATCATTGATCAACTTGTGCTTCTCCAGGTGATTTCGTATCTCTCTCTGCCTCTCTCCTTCACCGTTACTTCCCTTCTCTCTCCACCTCCTTCACCAGTACTTCCTATCTCACCATCTCTCTCCTTCACCAGTACTTCCTATCTCTCCATCTCTCTCCTTCATGAGTCTCTGTCTCTCCTCCATCTCCATCCCTCCACCAGTACTTCCTATATCTCTCCATCTCTCTCCTTCACCAGTACTTCCTGTATCTCTCCACCTCTCTCCTTCACCAGTACTTCCTATCTCACCATCTCTCTCCTTCATGTGTCTCTGTCTCTCCTCCATCTTCATCCCTTCACCAGTACTTCCTATATCTCTCCATCTCTCTCCTTCACCAGTACTTCCTGTATCTCTCCACCTCTCTCCTTCACCAGTACTTCCTGTATCTCTCCACCTCTCTCCTTCACCAGTACTTCCTATCTCTCCATCTCTCTCCTTCACCAGTACTTCCTATATCTCTCCATCTCTCTCCTTCATGAGTCTCTGTCTCTCCTCCATCTCCATCCCTCCACCAGTGCTTCCCTACTCTATCTCTCCATCTCTCTCCTTCACCAGTACTTCCTATATCTCTCCATCTCTCTCCTTCGTGTTTCTCTGTCTCTCCTCCCCTATCTCTGTCATCAGCATCTCTCCCCTCCACCAATATCCTCCCTTTCTCCCCTGCATCATCAAACCTTTTCTTTTTTTCTTCCTTTATTCTTGTTTTAAAAATTATTTGTCGGTCGAGGGCTGAGAGACATCTAGCATGTTTGTGTGTGGGTCGTGTTGTGTGTTGTGTGGAGTCGTGTTGTGTTGCGTTTGTGTTGGATGTGTGTTTTTGTGTTGTGTTGTGTTGGATCATGTTGTGTTGTGTTGTGTTGCGTGTGTTTGTGTGTTGTGTTGGAGTATGTGTTTGTGTGTTGTGTTTGGGTGTGTTTGTGTGTTGTGTTGGAGTGTGTTTGTGTGTTGTGTTGTGTGTTTGTGTTGGGTGTGTTTGTGTGTTGTGTTGGGTGTGTTTGTGTGTTGTTGTGTTGGGTGTGTTTGTGTGTTGTGTGTTGGGTGTGTTTGTGTGTGTGTTGTGTTGTGTGTGTTTGTGTTGGGTGTGTTTGTGTGTTGTGTTGGGTGTGTTTGTGTTGTGTGTTGTGTTGTATTTGTGTTGGGTGTGTGTTGTCTGTTGTGTGTAGTTGGTCGAGGGCTGTGAAGCATCGGTGTGTGTGTGTGTACACACACACACACAGAGAGAGAGAGAGAGCATTCAATAAAAAAATCTGAGTGATGTAAACATTACTCCGAGGACGACCTGCCTGTGTGAGGTGGATGGGGGTCCTCTTCCAGGTCACTCACCCTCAGCTACCACCTCCTCCTCCAGTTCACTCACCCTCTGCTACCATCACCTCCTCCTCCTCCTCCTCATTTTCCTCCTCCTCCAGGTCACTCACCCTCCTCCTCCAGGTCACTCACCCTCCACCACCTCCTCCTCCTCCAGGTCATTGCCCTCCTCCCAGGTCACTCACCCCTCCACCACCACCCCCCTTCCTCCAGGTCATTCGCCCTCCTCCTCCTCCTCCTCCGGGTCCATTCGCCCTCCTCCTCCTCCTCCAGGTCCTCCACCTCTACCACCACCACCTCCTCCTCGGCCTCCCTCCTTTCTCAAGTCACTCACCCTCAGCTACCAACTCCTCCTCCCGGGTCACTCACCTCCACCACCCCCTCTTCCTCCAGGTCACTCACCCTCCCACCACCACCCCTCCTCCTCCAGGTCACTCACCCTCAGCTACCAACTCCTCCTCCAGGTCACTCACCCTCCACCACCCCCTCTTCCTCCAGGTCACTCACCCTCCACCACCACCCCCTCCTCCTCCAGGTCACTCACCCTCAGCTACCTCCTCTTCCTCCTTCAGATCACTCCCCCTCCACCACCTTCATCAGTGTCGCTCCTCCACTCCGTTATTGCCGTCTCCGCTGACCACTGTTCCCTCCCTGGCGCTACATCACTGTTGTTGAGGAAGGGGGCGTGTCTTGTCCGCCCTCTGTACGTGTTCTGGTTGATGTGGTCCTTGTGTGTACGTGTTCTTGATGATGTGTTCCTCGTGTGTACGTGTTCTGGTTGATGTGGTCCTTGTGTGTACGTGTTCTGGTTGATGTGGTTCTTGTATGTACGTGTTCTGGTTGATGTGGTCCTTGTGTGTACGTGTTCTGGTTGATGTGGTCCTTGTGTGTACTTGTTCTGGTTGATGTGGTCCTTGTGTGTACGTGTTCTGGTTGATGTTCCTCGTATGTACGTGTTCTGGTGATGTGTTTTGTGTGTACGTGTTCTGGTTGATGTGGTCCCGTGTGTACTTGTTCTGGTTGATGTGGTCCCGTGTGTACGTGTTCTGTTGATGTGGTCCCTGTGTGTACGTGTTCTGGTGATGTGGTCCTTGTGTGTACGTGTTCTGGTTGATGTGGTCCTTGTGTGTACTTGTTCTGGTTGATGTGGTCCTTGTGTGTACGTGTTCTGGTTGATGTGGTCCTATGTGTACTAATTCTGGTTGATGTGGTCCTTGTATGTACGTGTTTGGTTGATGTTGTCCTTGTGTGTACGTGTTCTGTTGATGTGGTCCTGTATGTACTTGTTCTGCGATGTGGTCCTTGTGTGTACTTGTTCTGGTTGATGTGGTTCTTGTATGTACGTGTTCTGGTTGATGTGGTCCTTGTGTGTACGTGTTCTGTTGATGTGGTCCTTGTGTGTACTTGTTCTGGTGATGTGGTTCTTGTATGTACGTGTTCTGGTTGATGTTGTCCTTGTGTGTACGTGCTCTGGTTGATGTGGTCCTTGTGGTACGTGTTCTGCTGTGTGTGGTCCTTGTGTGTACTTGTTCTGATTGGTGTGGTCCCTGTGTGTACGTGTTCTGGTTGATGTTGTCCTTGTGTGTACGTGTTCTGGTTGATGTTGTCCTTGTGTGTACGTGTTCTGGTTGATGTGGTCCTTGTGTGTACTTGTTCTGGTCGATGTGGTCCTTGTGTGTACGTGTTCTGGTTGATGTGGTTCTTGTATGTACGTGTTCTGGTTGATGTGGTCCTTGTGTGTACGTGTTCTGGTGATGTGGTCCTTGTGTGTACGTGTTCTGGTTGATGTGGTCCTTATGTGTGTACTTGTTCTGGTTGATGTGGTTCTTGTATGTACGTGTTCTGGTTGATGTGGTCCTTGTGTGTACGTGTTCTGGTGATGTGGTTCTTGTATGTACGTGTTCTGGTGATGTGGTCCTTGTGTGTACGTGTTCTGGTGATGTGGTCCTTGTGTGTACGTGTTCTGGTTGATGTGGTCCTTGTGTGTACTTGTTCTGGTTGATGTGGTCCCTGTGTGTACGTGTTCTGCTGATGTGGTCCTGTGTGTGTACGTGTTCTGGTGTGATGTGGTCCTCGTGTGTACGTGTTCTGGTTGATGTGGTCCTTGTGTGTACGTGTTCTGGTTGATGTGGTCCCTGTGTGTACGTGTTCTGGTGTGATGTGGTCCTCGTGTGTACGTGTTCTGTTGATGTGGTCCCTGTGTGTACGTGTTCTGGTGTGATGTGGTCCTCGTGTGTACGTGTTCTGGTTGATGTGGTCCTTGTGTGTACGTGTTCTGGTTGATGTGGTCCTGTGTGTACTTGTTCTGGTTGATGTGGTCCCTGTGTGAACGTGTTCTGGGTGATGTGGTCCCTGTGTGTACGTGTTCTGGTGTGATGTGGTCCTCGTGTGTACGTGTTCTGGTTGATGTGGTCCTGTGTGTACTTGTTCTGGTTGATGTGGTCCTGTGTGTACTTGTTCTGCTGGATGTGGTCCCTGTGTGTACTTGTTCTGGTTGATGTGGTCCTTGTGTGTACTTGTTCTGATTGATGTGGTCCCTGTGTGAACGTGTTCTGGTTGATGTAGTCCTTGTGTGTACGTGTTCTGGTTGATGTGGTCCTTGTGTGTACTTGTTCTGGTTGATGTGGTCCTTGTGTGTACTTGTTCTGATTGATGTGGTCCCTGTGTGAACGTGTTCTGGTGATGTAGTCCTTGTGTGTACGTGTTCTGGTTGATGTGGTCCTGTGTGTACGTGTTCTGGTGATGTGGTCCTTGTGTGTACGTGTTCTGGTGATGTGTTCCTCGTGTGTTCGTGTTCTGGTGATGTGGTCCTGTGTGTACGTGTTCTGGTGATGTGTCCCTGTGTGTACGTGTTCTGGTTGATGTGGTCCTTGTGTGTACTTGTTCTGGTGATGTGGTCCTTGTGTGTACGTGTTCTGGTGATGTGGTCCTTGTGTGTCGTTCTGGGATGTGGTCCTTGTGTGTTCGTGGTGGCTGTGATGGTGGCGGCAATAATGCTGGCAGTAGTGGTGGTAGTGGTAGTTGTAGTGGTGGTGATTGTAGGTGGTAGTGGTAGTTGTAGTGGTGGTGGTTGTAGGGTGGTAGTGGTGGTGTGGAGGAGGTAGTGGTGGTAGTGGTGGTGGCAGTGGTTGTAGTGGTGGTAGTAGTGGTGATGGGTGGTGGTTGTGAGTGGTAGTGGTGGTGGTGGTTGTAGCAGTGGTAGTGGTGTGGTGGTAGTGGTGGTGATTGTAGTGGTGTTTGTAGTGGTGGTAGTGATGGTTTTGGTGGTTGTAGTGGTGGTTGTAGAGGTGGTAGTGGTTGTAGTGGTGGTAGTAGTGGTGATGGTAGCAGTGGTTGTAGTTTGGTAGTAGTGGTGATGGTAGCAGTGGTTGTAGTGGTGGAAGTAGTGGTGATGGTGGTGGTGGTGGTAGTAGTGGTGATTGTAGTGGTGGTTATAGTGATGGTTTTGGTGGTTGTAGTGGTGGTTGTAGTGTGGTAGTGGTTGTATGTGGTAGTGGGCTGTGGTGGTGGTAGTGGTGTAGTGGTGGTGGTGTAGTGGTGATTGGTGGTGTAGTGGTGATTGTAGTGGTGGTAGTGATGGTAAGGTGGTTGTAGTGGTGGTGGTTGTATTGATGGTTTTAGTGGTGGTAGTGGTGGTGGTGGTGGTGTTTGTAGTGGTTGGTAGTGAGTGATGGTTTTAGTGGTGGTGGTGGTAGTGGTTGTCGGTGGTGGTTGTGGTTGTAGTGGCGGTGGTGGTGGTTGTAGTGGTGGATTTATAGTGGTGGTAGTGGTGGTGGTGGTGGTGGTGGTAGTGGTTGTCGGCTGTGGTGGTTGTAGTGGTGGTAATGGTGGTTGTAGTGGTGGTAGTGATAGTTGTAGTTGGGGTAATGGTGGGTGTAGTGGTGGTGGTAGTGCTGGTTGTAGTTGTGGTTGTAGTGGTGGTGTTGGTGGTTGTAGTGGTGGTAATGGTGGTTGTAGTGGTTGTTGTAGTGGTGGCTGTAGTAGTGGTGGTAGTGATGGTTGTAGTGGTGGTAATGGTGGTTGTAGTGGTGGTAGTGATGGTAGTAGTGGTTGTAGTGGTGGTTGTAGAGTGGTAGTGATGGTTGTAGTGGTGGTAGTTGTGGTAGTGGTGGTGGTATGGTGGTTGTAGTGGTGGTAATGGTGGTTGTAGTGATGGTAGTGGTAGTTGTGGTAGTGGTGGTGGTAATGGTGGTTGTAGTGGTGGTAATGGTGGTGGTAGTAATGGTTGTAGTGGTGGTAGTGGTGGTTGTAGTGATGGTAGTGGTAGTTGTGGTGGTGGTGGTAGTGGCGGTGGTGGTGGTGGTGGTGTCCGAGAGCCCATTCAACAAGATCTAATTCCGTTCCCTGTGATCTGTCGTCTAAGGTTCCACTAGTCAACAAGCTCTGACCCTCCCAGATTCCAATCAGCGGGAACTAATCTGGCGGATTAGTTCCTACCTTCCCGCCCCCTTCCTTCCCCCTATTCCCTTCCCCTTCGTCCCCTTTCAGCTCCAATTATTGTCATCAATCTGTCGTCCACATTAATGATTTTCAACTCATTGGCTGCTTACGGTTATTGGAGGGAGAGGTGGGGGAGGAGGGAGGGGTGGGGGGAGGAGGGAGGGAGTGGGAGGGAGAGGTGGACGAGATATGGGAGGAGGCAGGGATCGAGGAGGATAGATTACTCTCTCTCTCTCTCTCTCTCTCTCTCTCTCCTCCTCTCCCAGGCCTCTTCCATCATTCCTCCCTCCCTTCAACTCGAGTACTTGACCTTCCGAACAAGCATAATTTTTCATTATCATTTATCTCCCCATTCTTCTCCCTCCTTTTATTCTCCTCTCTCGTCTCCTTGCCTCTCTTGTTATCTCCCTCTCCCCCATTCTACCGCTCCATCACTGTCTTTGTCTCTGGTGAACGAGATTCTTTTCTTCCTTCTCTGTCTTCTTTCTTTCCTTCCTCCCCTGTTTTCGCCCCTATCTCACCCTCATAACCTTCTCCCTCCCTCCTCCCCCACTCTCCCTCCCCACCTCCCTCCTCCCCTTTCCCCTCCCCTCCCTCCCTCCCTCCCTAGGCTCACCAACCAATACTCTGAATTAACAAATCGTACTTGAGTCTCCCATGAAAAAGTTGCAGATAAAAAAGAAAACGGGACGATTTATGCAACCCGGTTTATATACGTATGTTTCCTGGTCATGTTTAAGTTATTATTAAAAATGGGTTATGTTATGAGGTGGACTGATGGGTGAGAATGTTTTTTTTTATTTGGATTTTGATGTTTAATTTTTTGGCATTTTATTGTTTTTGTTGTTGCTCTTATTCTCATCTTTATCCTTCCCTCTTTATTATATTCCTCTTCCTCCACTTCCTTCACTATCTCCCTTTCCTCCTCCTCTTCCTCTTCTTCCTCTTCTACCTCCTCCCCAATTACTACGTTCGACTTGCCTCAGGGACACCAATAACACTAATTAAATACAGGTGTCACCTTTCTTACCTGTCGTCCAGTATACAGGTGCCGTGTAGTATCCTCTTTACTGTCGTCGTATCGGTGTCTGTCGTCAGTATACGGTGACCTTTCTACCTGTCGTCCAGTATACAGGTGTGACCTTTCTTACCTGTCGTCCAGTATACAGGTGTCACCTTTCACTGTCGTCCAGTATACAGGTGTCACCTTTCTTACCTGTCGTCCAGTATACAGGTGTGACCTTTCTACCTGTCGTCTAGTATACAGGTGACCTTTCTTACCTGTCGTCCAGTATACAGGTGTCACCTTCTACCTGTCGTCCAGTATACAGGTGTCACCTCTTACCTGTCGTCCAGTATACAGGTGTGACCTTGTCGTCAGTATACAGGTGTGACCTTTCTTACCTGTCGTCCAGTATACAGGTGTCACCTTTCTTACCTGTCGTCCAGTATACAGGTGTCACCTTTCTACCTGTCGTCCAGTATACAGGTGTGACCTTCTTACCTGTCGTCTAGTATACAGGTGTGACCTTTCTTACCTGTCGTCCAGTATACAGGTGTCACCTTTCTTACCTGTCGTCCAGTATACAGGTGTGACCTTTCTTACCTGTCGTCTAGTATACAGGTGTCACCTTCTTACCTGTCGTCCAGTATACAGGTGTGACCTTTCTACCTGTCGTCCAGTATACAGGTGTGACCTTTACCTGTCGTCCAGTATACAGGTGTCACCTTCTTACCTGTCGTCAGTATCAGGTGTGACCTTTCTTACCTGTGACCTTTTACCTGTCGTCCAGTATACAGGTGTGACCTTTCTTACCTGTCGTCCAGTATACAGGTGTGACCTTTCTTACCTGTCGTCCAGTATACAGGTGTGACCTTTCTACCTGTCGTCCAGTATACAGGTGTGACCTTTGTGTCGTCAGATACGGTGTGACCTTTCTACCTGTCGTCCAGTATACAGGTGTGACCTTTCTTACCTGTCGTCCAGTATACAGGTGTGACCTTTCTTACCTGTCGTCCAGTATCTAGTTAATCTTGTCGTCAGTGATCATTCTTGTCATTTTCTTTGTTATTATTAAACCTATTCGGATCACCTGAGTAATCTCTACCCTAGCTTATTACACCTAAAGATTGGGTTAGGTTAGGTTAGGTTAGATTAGGTTAGGTTAGGTTAGGTTAGGTTACGTTAGATTAGGTTAGGTTAGGTTAGGTTAGCCAATGATCAAGTGAAATAATCTAGGGTGTCTAATCTTCAGGTGAGCCATGTTCAGTATATCACTGTATCGACTCCTGGAGAAAAAAGAAAGAAATTTATTGATAGAATATATTAGAACCACTTGAGGAGAGATGAAGGAAATGAAAGAAGAG